CATAAACTGCAGAACCCATCTCTCTTTTGATCTTGATGTTCTTGATCTGGGTGTTTCATATTCTGATGTTACTTTTCACTGATGATCCTGCTCCAGATTCTTCATTTCTTCTTTGATTGACAAAAAGAACTGATAAATATATTGTAACCATCAGAATCTTCTTCTTCTTCTCCTCACTCATCTGGGTTTTTTTTTGTTGGTTTTATTTATCAGCGACTTTGTTGAAATTCAGACCTTAGACTGCCATTTACGTCCTCCTTTCTAGATTCTGGACCTGGGTTTTGTCGATCAGGTACTTCTTGCACATCGTTCCTTATTTTTTCCAACTTAAATTGAGAAAAAGTTGTATCTAATCGTTTACTGTTTTGGTATGCTGAATCTGATTAGGTAGAAGAGGCCAAAAATCAAAGCCAAAGAATCTGACCCTTGGAATTATTCGGAAGTGTTTCGTTCTATTTGGCTGAAGTCATGACGACTACATCGCGTGCAAATTCTAAGCGTATGTATTCTTGGTGGTGGGATAGCCACATTAGCCCAAAAAATTCTAAATGGCTTCAAGAAAATCTTACAGGTACTGATTTTTTCCCCTTTTGATTTTCTTATAGGATATGGTTTGTGTAATTCTGGTTGTGCTTATTTGAGCTCTGTGAATAAAAATGGCTGAGTAGTTCTTGGTTTTTCCTGCCTGGAACACAGATATGGACGCCAAAGTGAAACAGATGATCAAGCTTCTTGAAGAAGATGCAGATTCCTTTGCTAGGAGGGCTGAGATGTACTACAAGAAGCGCCCGGAACTTATGAAATTGGTGGAAGAATTCTACAGGGCGTACCGTGCATTGGCAGAAAGATATGACAATGCGACCGGAGTGCTTCGCCAGGCTCATCGTACCATGGCTGAAGCATTTCCTAACCAGGTTCCATTTGATGATACGCCTGCAGGTCCAGGGAATGAGGGTGATCCACGGACACCTGAGATGCCACCACCCATACGTGCTCTTTTCGACCCTGAGGAGTTGCAAAAGGATGCCTTGGGGCTTTCACCCCAGTTCAACGCTGGCAGAAGAAATGGAGCGTTTACGGACGAATCCAACTTGGTTACAAATCGGAGGGGTTTGAAGCAGTTTAATGATATATTTGGTTCTGGGGAAGCCATAAACCAACCAAAATTTGGAGAAGGGCGGGCAAGGAAAGGCCTCAGTTTCCAGGATCTTGAGGAGAACGAGCAAAATGGAGGTAACAATCTCAAGGTTTCAGCTGCCGAGGCAGAGATTTTAGCCTTAAAGGAGGCTCTGGCTAAACTAGAAGCTGAGAAGGAAGCTGGTCTACTTCAATATCAACAGAGTCTTGATAAGCTGTCCAATCTCGAGTCAGAAATCTCTCTTGCACAAGAGGATTCCACGAGACTTAATGATCGAGCCTCTAAAGCTGAAACTGAAGCTCAGAATTTGAGGGAAGCCCTCAGCAAACTAGAGACTGAACAGGAAGCTGGTCTGCTAAAGTATCAACAGTGCCTGGACAAAGTATCCCTACTGGAGAATGATATCTCTGACATTCAAAAGGGTGCTGAAGAACTAACTGAGAGAGCAAGTAAAGCTGAGAATGAAGCTGAAACTCTGAAGCAAAGCCTTGCTGAAGTAGAAGCTGAAAAGGAAGCCGCACTTGTTCAATATCGGGAGTCTTTAGACATGATAGCAAAACTAGAGGAGAAACTTCTTCACGCTGAGGAAAGTTACAGACGATACAATGAGCTAGCTGACAAAGCTGAAAGTGAACTCATAATCCTTAAGCAAGCAGTCGCAAAATTAACCGAAGAAAAGGAAGCTGCTGCTCTCCAGTACCAGCAGTGTCTGGAGAAGATTTCTAGTCTTGAACATATAATTTCTTGTGCTGAAGAAGAGGCTGAAAGGCTGCATCGTGAAATAGATGATGGGGTTTCGAAGTTAAGAAGTGCTGAAGAAAAATGTCATTTGTTGGAGACTTCAAATCTGGCTCTGCAGTCTGAGTTGGAGTCTTTAGTTCTAAAAATGGGGTCTCAAAGTCAAGAACTAACTGATAATCAAAAAGAGTTGGGAAGACTTTGGACTTGCATACAGGACGAGCACTTGCGCTTTGTTGAGGCCGAAACTGCTTTCCAAACATTGCAGGATTTGCATTCCCAGACCGAGGAAGAACTTCGCTCTCTTGCTGCAGAGCTTCAGAATAGAACACAAATCTTAAAGAACCTGGAAATTCAAAACCAGAGTTTGGTTGCTGATGTTCAGGAGGTTAAGAATGAAAACAGGAATCTTGAAGAAGTCAATATATCTTCAGCTCTATCAATAAAAAATCTGCAAGATGAGCTATCAAGCTTGAGGGAGAAGATAAGAGAACTTGAAGCGGAGGTCGAACTTCGAACGAACGAAAGAAATGCCCTTCAGCAAGAAATCTACTGTCTGAAAGAGGAAATTAATGGCTTGAATAAGAAAAATGGTGCCATATTGGAACAGGTGGAATCTACTGGCTATAATCTAGAGTGCTTTGCAACATCTGTTAAGGAACTGCAAGATGAAAATTCAAGGATGAAGAAGACCTGTGAGACAGAGAAAAGTGAGAAAGCAGCTCTCTTGGAGAAGTTGATTATCCTTGAGAAACTGGTTGAGAAAAATTCCTTTTTAGAAAACTCCATTTCTGATATGAGTGTCGACTTAGAAGAAACCAAGGAGAGGGTAAAGATGTTGGAAGAATCTTGTGAATCTCTGGTGGGAGAGAAATCAGCTCTTTCTTCTGAGAAAGTTGCCCTGACTTCTCAGTTACAAATTACAACAAAAAATCTGGAGGAACTATCAGAAAAGAATATGCTTCTGGAGAACTCCCTTTCAGATGCAACTGCTGAACTTGAAGCATTGAGGGTGAAATCAAAGGATCTGGAAGAATCCTGCCTGTTGCTTGATCAACATAAGTCTGGCCTCATTACAGAGAGAGAAAGCTTAGTGTTTGAGTTGGATACCTCCCGTAACACTCTTGAAGATCTGGATAGAATGTACCGGGAGTCAGTAGAGAAACATTCGGTGCTTGCCACTGAAAGAGAATCTGCATTTTGTGAAATAGAAAAGCTAAAGGCTTCTTTAGATGCTGAAAAACAAGCACATTATAGTTTTACTGAAATCAGTGGAAAACGGTTAGCTGGCATGGAGTTACAAATGCGTGTATTACAGGAAGAATGTGACAAGTGGAAGAAAGAATATGAGGGAGAAACAGATAAAGCTATAACTTCTCAGTTTGCAATCTTCATCTTACAGAATTGCATGCAAGATATGAAGGATAATAACCTCTCGTTACTTCTCGAGTCTCAAAAACTTTTCGAGGCATCAAAGAGGTCAAAAGAAGTGATTTCTGAATTAGAGCGCGAGAAGGCTCAAACACAAGGGCAGGTTAAATCCTTCACTGAGAAAAATAAAATATTGAGGATGGGGCTTCACCAGGTATTGAGAACTCTTGACATCAATGCAAACGATAGGTCTGATCACAAGACCGAGCAAGATCAAATACTTCTGAACCACATCTTTGTCAAACTTCAGGAAAAACAAAATTATATGAATGAAACTTGTGATGAATACTATCAGTTAGTGATTGAGAAATCCATTGCTGAAAAGTTTCTTGAGCAACTGAAAGATGGAGCTGCGAACATGTTGATGGAAAGGGATGCTCTTGATCAGGAGCTCGGAATCCAATCTGAACAGATCTTGATTTCTCAGAGTAGGATTGAGAAACTCATGGAGTTGAATGAAGAGCTGAGGTTGAAAGTAGTGGAGGGCAACGATAAAGAACAAGCCCTCAAGACAGAAATGGAAAATGTATGCAAGAATCTGCATACTGTGAAAGAAGCTTACCAGATTTTACAAGTAGAGAATTCTAAGGCACTTGATGAGAAATTATCTTTGACAAAAGAAGTCTCAGACTTGGGGAAACAGAGGTGTCAATTAGCAGAAGATAACAGTGATATGTTCAATGAAACAATATTTCAAAGTCAACTTTTCCTCATTTGTAAGGATATTATCTCTGAAATTCTTGAAGAAATGAGAAAGGTTACTGAGTGTAAGGATATACTCCAGCTCACAAATAATGATCTTGAAAAGAGAGTGAAAGTAATGGAGGGTAAGTTGGGAGATGAACGAATGATGAACTTAGAACTCACGACGTTCTTGGAGAAGTCACGTAGTGAGGCTGAAAATTATTTGACAGAGAAGAACACACTTGATCAGGAGCTCAGGTGCCAATTGGAACAGTATTCGGCACTCCAGGCTAAGATGGAGAAATTTCTGGAGTTGAATGAGGAAATGAGGTTGAAAATAGTGGAGGGTGGCCGCAAAGAAGAAGTGCTAATGACTGAAATGGAGAATGTATGTAAGAAGCTGCAGAATTTGGAAGGGGCCTACCAGATTCTACACGATGAGAGTTGCAGGGCACATGACGAGAAAATATCTTTGTCCAAGGAAATCTCTGGATTGAGGAAAGAGAAACAAGAACTAGAAGAAGTAAACATTAATATGTTCACTGAAAGAATATTTCAAAGTGAACTTTCCTTTATTTACAAGGATGTAGTCTCTGAAAATCTCGTTGAACTGAGAAAGCTTGCTGAGTGTATAGATGAACTCCAGTTCAGAAATAAAGACCTTGAAGAGAGAGTGAAAGTAATGGAGGGAAAGTTTGGAGATGAAAAAACAAAGAACTTAGAACTCATGAATTCCTTGGAGAAGTCACAGAGTGAGGCTGAAAATTATTTGATGGAAAAGAACGTGCTTGACCAGGAGCTCAGAAATCAATCTGAACTGAATTCAGCACTACAGGGTAAGATGGAAGAACTTCTGGAGTTGAATGAAGATATGAACTTGAAATTGATAGAGCGCAATCACAAAGAAGAAGCACTAATGACCGAAAAGGAGAATCTATTCAAGATGCTGCAAAATTTGGAAGTGGCTTATCAGATATTACGTGCAGAGAATCACAAGGCAGTTGAGGAGGAAAAATCCTTGACAAAAGAAATCTTAGGCTTGAGGAAGGAGAAACGTGAATTAGAAGACGTAAACATCGATATGTTCGGTGAAACAATATTTCAAAGTCAACTTTCCTTTATTTATAAGGATATTGTGTCCGAAAACCTTCAAGAACTGAGAAATATTGTTGAGTGTATGGATAAACTTCAGTCCACAAATAATGACCTTGAAGAGAGAGTAAAACTAGTGGAGGGAAAGTTGGGAGATGAACAAACAAGGAATTCTGAACTCATTCAGTCCTTGGAGAAGTCCAAGGGTGAGATTTTGCAAGTAGAAACAATGCTAATCTTGAAGGAAAATGAAAGGTTGGAGCTGCACAAAATGGTGGAGCTGCTATCAAAGAAGTGTAATGAGTTGGAGGTGATAAATGAAGAACAGAAGAATCTTATGAACAAAATATCCTCAGATAAAGATTGTCTGGCTAAGGAAACGGACCTTCTTCATGAAGAGAGTAGAAAAATGGACACGAAGCTTAAGGAGCTGCAAAATGAAGCTGAAAAGAACACAAGTAGAGAGGAAAGTTTAACATCTGAACTTCAGATGAAGAACAATGAAGCTCAATCGTGGGAGACTCAAGCTGCCACTTCTTTTGGTGAGCTGCAGATTTCTGCTGCTTATCAATCAATTTTTGAAGGCAAGATTCATGAGCTAATGGAAGCGTGCGAGATCCTTCAAGATAGAAATACTTCAAAAGATGTGGAGATTGAATTGCTGAAGGACAAAATTAGTAGCTCAGAAGGAGAAAATGGAAAAATGAGAACTCAGTTGGCCTTGTATGTTCCAGCTATCCAAACCTTGAAGGATTCTATAAGTTCTCTTGAAAAGCATGCAATTTCTTCAACAAAAGTGAAAAAAGTCGACGAACAGGAAGTGAAGGTACTACCAATATCCCTTTATCTGAATACAAATTTATATTTACTCCTATAGTTTTTGTTGTTATGTATCCATGTAGTAGAGAGCTTTTTAAACTTAAATAAATTACTGGATTTTTCTTACATTTTTGGTTAGGCAAACTCATTAATGTTTAAACCATTTTATTGCAAGTAAAAGAAACTTCTAAATCCAAGTTTCATCTAGCTTTCCAACGGTTCATCACATGCTCTTACGTTTGGTTCTAGCTCAGTTAATTATGCACTCATATCTAAAGAAATTAGAACCTTTTGAATAACCACTTTGTTTTTTGTTTTTCATAATGGAAAAAGGAGCTGGTCCGCTCACAATTTATTATTATTATTATTATTATTTTTTAATTTTGTTATCTACTTTACCCAAAGGCCAAATGTTAGAAACTGTTTTTATCTTTGAAATTTGGATAAGAATTCAAACTTGTCTTCGAGGAGATAAAAGACAGAGATTGTGAGCGACCAAACTTAAACTTGTAAAAACAGAAAATTAAAATGAAATTACTATCAAACAGGCATATAGTTTTGCAGTTTTGCCGTTATTTTTCCTAGTTAAAAGGTTTCAACTGAATATTTGAATTGATATTCTCCGTGATATTGATATTGAGCCCTCTGAGCCAAGAGTAGCTGACTTATTATCTCCTAATTATCTACTTGTTTATCCATCCCTAGTCAATTTTTTTCTCATGCCAACAAAATTTTGCCCCTTAAAAAACCCCAAAATTTCCGCACTCTCTTTTGAACTTATCTGATAGCTTAATTTTCATTCTTAGAATCATAAAAACACTCCATGCTATATAACAACAGACCAATATCTTTGAATCTTGACGTGATTATCCTATTTGATATCGTTTAGTTGTAGCATTTGGAGACTGTCTGAGTTTTTACTCCATAATCTCATGTTCCTTAACCTTCAATTTTGCAGGATTCTGATTCTGGAAGCTTTCAGCAGCCACATGATGATCAAGTTCACAATAATGGTTCAGTTGAGCTGCAAGATTTGAATAGGAGGATTCAAGCAATTGAAGTAGCATTTGAAGAATTTGACAGCCAGACTACACTAGAAAAGTTTAATGTCAATTCCAAACTAGAGAAAGTAATGAGGGAGATTGAGGAGGTAAAAACAGAAAGTAGCCGGTCACGAGACAGTGGTCGTATCACCAAGGCCAATTTAGCAATTCGAGGACAGGAGCGCTTTAATCGGTCGCATTCAAAGTCTGAAATTTCTGAAGCAGGGAACGAAGTTCTGACAAAAGACATCCTACTTGATCGCATATCTGACCGTTCATCATATGGAACCAGCAGCAGAGAAACTGCAGGGGCCGGTGATCGGATGCTTCATCTGTGGGAATCAACTGATCAAGATGGCAGCTCTGGTAGGGCAGTTGGCAAGGGTTCGAAGCTGGCTCACTCATCTACCGAGTTCCACCGGGTCGAATCGAGCAGGAGACGGAGTAGCAAGCACCCTTCAAACGAATCATTGGTCGAGAAGGAGTTGAGTGTGGACAAGCTAGAGATCTCCAAGAGACTTTCTGATCTCCCCCAAGAAGGAAACAAGAGAAGGATTCTAGAAAGACTTGATTCTGATGCCCAGAAATTGGCAAACCTTCAGATAACTGTACAAGATTTGAAGAAGAAGATGGAAGTTACAGAGAAGAGCAAGATAGAAAAAGGTGCTGAATATGATACAGTGAAGGAGCAAGTAGAAGAAGCTGATGAAGCCATCACCAAATTGTTTGAAATGAACCTTAAACTGACAAAGAATATCCAAGATGGTTTTCTGGCAGCTGATGGAGCATCCACACTGGGCCCAGAGGAGGAAAATGACAGTGTCCAAAGCAGGCGAATTTCGGAACAAGCACGGAGGGGATCCGAGAAGATCGGACGATTGCAGTTGGAGTTGAAGAAGCTACAGTTTCTAATAATGAAGCTAGATGGTGAAAGAGAGGCAAAGGGCAAAAGTAAAGTGTCCGAGCGGAGTCCGAGAGTTCTTCTAAGGGACTATCTTTATGGCGGGACGAGAACGAGGCAAAAGCAAAAGCAAAAGAAGACGTGTTTTTGCGCTTGTATGAGACCACCAACAAAGGGTGATTGAGGCATTCGATTTTTTATCCGCGAAATAATCGTAATTCATATTCTAGGTTAAATGAAAAGGAAGGATGTTTGTTTGTTCATCATCTATCAAATTTTTCTTTGTAGAGAGGTTCTTTTGGAACTGTATGTTTTCTTTAGCTTTGTTTTGTATAGAGAGGTTTTTATGTTACTTTTAGCTTTGAGATTCTGCTGTACATGAAAGGCTGCATCTAATCAGAGAAAGCTGCTCTTATTAGAGGCTCTTCTTCATTGTCCATATGAAAATATTGCTTCTGACTTTTCAATAAATGAGTTTTTAGCTTCAGATCCATAATTGGGATAACTTTAGTATGTGATTTGAATTACTTTCAACTTTTTGGTTCATGTACTTTTAATTTCTTAACGTTCGATTCGATCTTTGGATTTAAAAATTGACAATTTTGATTTTGTTCGTAAATTTTAGACACAAATTCTATACACAATAGAAACCATTTATACAAATTTGTAGTCACATTACAAAAAATTTATTAAATATAGTGTCGTGCTAAAATTTTGATAAAAACAACAAAATTAAGGGACATTTCAAAATTACAATGACCAATCTAAAATATAGTGAACAAAATTGGCATTTTGAAAGTAAGTCGACCAAAATAAATTGAGCCCCCAGAGGGTAACCTAGTTGGCAAGTGTTTGAGGTTTCTTGATCATACTAGTTTAGAGGTCTCAGGTTCGAATCTTCTGGTGAACTTAATACCAAAAACTCTCAATGTTTCAAGTTAAAACCTTAGGGTGGGTGCGGGTAATTTATAAAAAAAAAAACGGACCAAAATAAATCATTGATGAAATATTATATAAACCTAATTTATATAATTTATTAAGTTGATCATTAATTTTTGTATAATTATTTACTACTTTTTATTAGTATATGAATGGGAAAATTAAAAGTATAAATAGTAATTAGAATTAGTAGGTTGCATTTTTAGCCCCACGAGATTTTACCCCTATATAATGTATCTAATTAGTATGAGTTTGTAAAGTTTCGATTTAATGCGTAAATTCTTTAAAATGGTTCCATCTAGGATTTAACATTCCTTTTTCTATTAGCTAAATTAATGATAGTTGATCCAATATTTAGTTAAATTAATTTTAGGTTTAAATATTATTTTGGTCATAAACTTTTTTAACACGCAACTTTTATTCATTTTAGTTATTATAATTCTAAAACATCCGCTTCTGTTTTTATACTTTTAAAAAGGGAAGATTTTGGTCTCTATTTGTAAAATGTTAACATTTTATACATAATAGAAATTTTTCAAACAAAATTTGATGGCTACCTTCGAACAAATTTTGTGAATGAAATATTATGTTAAAAAGTATGACACAAGAAATGAAATAAAAATGAAAATAAATTGACTAAAATAGTTACTACATTAACCAAAATAGTTTACAAAATACACAAAATACACAGGGAACTAAAAAGACCAAAATGAAGTCAAAGCGAGCATAACTCAATGGTAATTGACATATATTTTCAACCAAGAGGTTGTGAATTCGATCTCCCACCCCACTTATTTGTACTGACGAAAAAGATCAAAATGAACCAAATTCAAAAATATGATAGGACAACTAAATACACTAATATATATTTGTTAATGAATCTTTTTGTTGGAAGAAGAGATATGGAAGATGGAGGATAGGAAAAGAACATAATGACATTTACCATATTTTAAAGGTTAAAAGAGATATTTTGACCAAGAAAAAAAAAGGATTGAAAACTCCAAAATTGAAATTCTGTGAGGGTTAGTTGTGGAATAAAATTCCATCTCTTGAGATATAAGAACCAAAGAAAAGTTCAATGAAAAGGTTATAAGATGCAAATAAGCAAACTCCAATGAATAAAAATTGCTTCCTATTTTCCCAAAAACAGAACTTTATTAAGGGAAATTCTGAATGTACACCAAATTGTACAAGCAGAATAGTTGTTAAGAAATCAACTACAAAACTATTCTGTTTTCCCCTCACTGTTTAATTCTAATCAGTATGCTCAAATGTGAGATACTCAGTTCATCCTACCGATAACGAAACTTCGTCTTACCTCTTACGCATATGCAGCAAATAGGACTTTTCGACAAAGTACTACTCATACTTGAACTAACAGCAACATGATGGTTAAAAAATATGCATCAGTTCATCAGTGTAGATACAAAACAAGGTCTTACCAGACCGCGGGCAAATTTCGGGTGCAATTTCGAGACGTTATGAAGAACGAATTCTCTCTTTGTTTTGATGCATATGCGTGGCTAAGTTTTCCCTTGAAGTGTTCCCCAATGGATCAACTTGCTTGCAACAATGCTCCTGATAACCCAAGTCATGATGACCAGATAAAGCAACATCTGGTTGTAGTTCATCTCCATTGTCAATTAGAATGTTCTGAAGTAAACAGCATACTAGTATGATGCTAGGTAATTTCCGCTTATCGGGCCTCCACATAACCTTGTTGAGGATTCTCCAGCTGCCCTTCAACTGAGAGAATGCCCTCACAGCGAGCAACCTTGCAGCTTTGTGCACGGCGTTGAAGTCGAGCTTCGATGGCGATAGGTCGTCATTTTCATAAGGAGTAATCAACCAAGGAAGAAGAGGATAACAACCTCCACCAACCAAGTACTCTCTGATCTCTGACTCTCCAGACAACTTCCTTACATTTCCATTCAAACGCTCACCGACATCGCATAGTTTGAAGAATTTCGAGCACTTCAGCAATCGGTTAGTCGTCATGCCCCCGGGCCAACCTGTTACAATGTCAAGAAATCGCATCTGGTGATCTACGATTCCCTGCAATAACATACTGTAGTTATTGTTAGTATCACACCAATCATCAGATGTTTGTATGGCTGGAAGGGTCATAATGATGTGTGTTGCATCTATGGCTCCACAACAATTAGGCAGCCCAAAGGAGGCTTCAAATTGGGACTTGATTTCCTCAAGTTTCGATGAACTCGGCCACCGAAGATGGTGCTTCGCCCGTTGCTCCAAGGCTTCAACAAATCTCCAAGTGACCTGAGAGACTGTGGACTGGCCAACTCCAAAGGCAGCTCCCACAGAAACTTGGGACTCACCAGATGCCAATCTTCTCATAGCAATTGCAACTTGCTTCTCTACACTGAGAAGTCTTCCCTCAATGTTGATAAGCCCAGACGGTGGCCTTGAGATCAGATCTTCTCTTACAAGGGAACAAATGTAGTCGAAAGTCGTCTTCGAGGTTCGAAAGAAGAACTTGAATCCTTCTGCTTCATCATTGGGTCCAGGAGAATCTGCAAATTGGAGAAATTCCCCTGAGATGTTTCAAAATGCCTCAAACATGAAAGTTGAACTGAAAAATGAAATGGGCAGCAACTGTTCATCACAATGAGCCAAAACATTTGCAGTCCAATCCAGATTCCCCACTCTTCAACCATATTAGACAGAATCAGGAAATGCCACTCGGTTTTCATTCAAATTATAGACAAAATTCTTATAAATTATCTTGCCTCATATCACCTAAATTTCAAAATCCCCCCCGGAAAATTCTACAACTGCTAAGAGGAAAATGGCAAACTCACCAATCTAAAATTATCGAGTCAAAAGGAATTCGAAGTAGAAGAAAAACCCAAGTAGAAGCTGATTGCCGAATGAGGAGAGGGAAAATGATACAATACCTGAGGTTGAACAATTCTTGTGCCAGAAAATTTCCCACCAATCGGGCTCCGAGGCTCTGGGTCCCATAGGAACAACGCTTAAGGTTTTCGATTTCTTGAGTTTGTTGGAATCCCTTTTGCGCTTCTTCGATTTCTTTGTGGGCGCCATTTGACAAGAAATCAAACACCCACCGGCCGATGATCGTTTGAGGGGAGGATGAAAAGGAAGAAGACGATTAAGCTGAAAGTGATTGGAATTTGAGAAGACGAAGGAATGCACAAGAGAAGCCTTGTGCTTTTACTTCACCATTTTATATTTCATTTTTAGTTGGATAACCTTCCTTATTTCATATATTTATATTTAATTTGTTATTTGTTCTTGAACCTAACCATAACCAACTCAAGCATAGGTTAAAAGGCATCTATCATAAGTTTGAATTCCAATCCATATATTGTATTAAAAAATATATATAACCATATCTACTCAGCGAGTTAAAATATATATCTTGACCAAAAGGAATAGTGCAACGCATCGACTAGCTCGTGTTGCTCTCTCTCAACGTTTAAATCGTGTATGACTTGAAGAAGTTCATGTAGTTTTTGCTAGGATAGTTTCTTCGAAATGTTTGTTTGGTGTCTCGTAGTTGTTCTGTTTTGTTCTCTTTGTAAAAACAAAAAAAATAGTGATTATAAAGTATTTCACATATCTAAATAAGTTAAAAATTATTAGTATTAATATTAGGTCTCTAGTAATATTTTGTTAGTATTTTATATTTTATCAATATATTTTGTTTTTTTTTGTTTTGTCTTTTCTTTTTTGTTGTTTTTTTTTGTAATACTGTAGAAATGTCGATTTACCTCTCATGTTAGTATCGAATCCAATGGGTTAAATCACCTATTTCCGATCAAAAGTTTATAAGTTCGAATCCCCACCTCACATAGTGTTTTACTAAATAAAAAAAAATATCACTTTGCACTTTACTCTAAGATAAATGTTGTAATTTTCCCTAAAGCTTTACAAAAGCGTCGCAAATTTAACCATTTTCATTTGAAACGAAAAAATATTCTCATATTTACCAAATGAATCAGAGGATATATATTTCTCCTGTTGTGTACGTGTCATTGACATTGCAATGGTGGACTTGAAATATCACATCAGAAAGGCCTAGCATTACTTTCAGAGCACAACTTTACAATTAGTAATTCTCCATTGAGAAAACAGAAGAGATACATTACAACACAATACAATACAAGCATTTCCCTCACTTTCATATCATCATCTCTCTCTTTTTTCATCATAAATTCCATATATATCTGTTATTTTAACCTACAGCTGACACTATTCAGAGGGGGGGAAAAATTTACCCCACAAGTTGAATTCACAGCTTTAGACTTCACAGTGACATTGCTCCTTCAATGCCTCTGCTTGCGTTCCTCGTAAACAATAAGATCATTGATCGTTCAATGTCTTAGACATTGTTCCATCGCTCTGCTTTCTCATCCGTTTCAGGGTTTGGTTTGCAGGAGTGAAGCATATAGTTGCAGGCTGCTACAGCTTCGGCAACTGTAAGATAGATCCATTCGTGTCCGAGGTTGTCGATGAACCTGCCCTTGTCAAGTTTCTTCATCACCTCTGCACCGGGGTTGGCCAAGACTATCTGCGTAGATAGGAAAGAAAAAAGAACTTCAAGTGGATGACAAATATTAAAGATTTAAAAGAGTGGCCCAATGAGCTGATAATAGTCTTGTTGATTCTAGGAGACTCTGGAAAAACCTAAGATAAACAATAATTTAATAAGAGTTACGGTCGCTAATACGCAATTCATTTTCAGAGAATGACTCATCTCATGTTTGAGTTGCATAGTTGAGAAAGACCCTAAACTTATTCGGTTCTATTCTCGCCAGTCTTGTTTTCTAAGTTGCCACATAGGTACAAAATTCTATATTTTCAGTAAGATTTTGGTTTTCTTCCTTATACGTATATCCTATCATGGTTGTTCTTGAATAAGAAGGTTTGTCATTCTTAAATTATCATAATTTTCTGACATATATTTAGATTGTCAGATGAACGCCTAGGATCAAACCTCATCCATATGAAGTTCGACAATACAAATGCTTTGCATGATTTTTAACTTCTAAATCTATTTTACAGTTGAAAGAGAGAATATGCTGCAGGAAAATGGAAGTTTTTAACAGTGAAATAATGTACCTGCAACCCCCTTCTGTCTAAAATCTTCTTGATTTCTTCAAACATGCTTATTCCGCTCGTGTCAATGTTTCCAACAGCTGAAAAGGAAATTAATTCTCAGAGTTTGGTTCAAAACAAAACAACATGTTCGTCCATTTCAGCAGTTAAAGATCCAATACTTACCACTCATGTCCAATAGTACATATTGTAATGTGCTTTCTCCTGAAGCTTTTATCCTGTCTTCCTCTTCATCAACCCACCTTATAATCCTAAAGAATAAAAGTTTTGACTTCAGGACAAACTTCCAAAAAATCCATCCAAGTAATGATTCACTCGAATCCACATCTATTTAAAAGAAAAAGTTGACATTGCAATGTATGTCAATGGCATGTGCCAATGTGATAGATGGGATACCTTTCTCTCAAGTAGCTGGAATTTGCAAAGTAAATGGGTGCGTCAATCTCAAGTATGAGAATGCCAGGAACATTATCAGCATTCGGGTATTGCTCGACGTTCCTGTAAACAGTGGAATTGGGAAGGTTTCCGAGCACAAGCGTCCTCGGCCTTGCGACGAACAAAAGTAGTCTAAGCACAGATATTGCTACCTGCAATAAGATGGATCAAGATTATTAGACTACCACACTAAACTCCAAAATGCCTAAGCTAAATAGGCTATATGGAGGAGGAATGACATTACATAATTCAAAATCAAACACAAGACCTCCTAGTTAGCTAGTAGATTATTATGTCATATTAAGTTTTTATGCACAATGGCTATTGAGATCCCTAAAAAACGACACGATACAGAGGGGGAATTCAGGCAGACATTTTATCAAACACCTTACGGGCGCACCCAAAAACTCGAAAGAAAAAACCACATCATACCGCGATGACCAGGCCAATTTCAACACTGGCGAAGACGACGCCGGCATAAGCGCCGATGCAGACAACGAAATCGAACTTATCGACCTTCCAGAGGTGAATGGCGGCCTCGTAGTCGATGAGGCCAAGCATGGCCGAAATGATGATGGAAGAAAGCACCACGAGAGGAGTGTAGTGGAACAGGGGAGTCAAGAACAAGAGCGTCAACATGACCGCGATCGCCATGACCACGTTCGATACCGCCGTCTTGCACCCGGCGTTGTAGTTCACCGCCGATCGCGAAAATGGGCCTGCAAATTGTGCGATTTCCGATGGATTTCAATATTACGAATGGGGGTTTCCGTAGTAATGGGAGTTGAATTGGGAGATAATGGAATTGGAGGAGGAAGTTGTGCGTTTACCTGTGGTGAGATAGCAAGAGAAGCAAGAGCCGACCATGTTCATGGTGCCAATGGCTACCATTTCTTTGTTGCCATCAATGTTGTAATGCTTGAACATCGCGAAGCTCCTCCCAACTGCTATTCCTTCCTGTGATCATTATCAATATCAATATCCCATTCAAAAATTGATTCTCATCTTCAATTTTCACTCCTAAACTATTTTTCCTTGATCTTATTTCACATCTCTTTTTATTTTTATTTTGGTTTCTATAACGTCAAAATATCTCTTTTAATCTCTATTAGTACCATAAAATAATATGTGCTAGAAATTTCGCTACAAGCAAGCAAGATAAGGTAACTCCTATTTCTAAAGTTTGTAGTTCAGACTTCTTCCGTACTTGACTTACGAGCTTGTGTAGTACTCGCTCCTATCGAGTGAGCGAAACCTTCAATTTAGGAGCTCTCCTATCGGACCTTGTTAATCTTAACACTCTTAAAAGTTAATATTTTGATCTATATTTACAAAATTAGGAAAATCCTATGATATAAAATTTATGGTTATAATTAAAAAATTTTAGTGGGTGAAATTATGCTAAAATTTTGAGATAATAATAAAAATGAAGGGACCCTTAATGCAGTTGTTTCGTTACTAATGTGAAAATTTTCCTTCGAAGTGCCTTAGGGAATCAGGGTACAAAACTTTTGCCAGTGCGAGTGCTTCCAATAGCACCTCTGGTTCGAGGAATAGTCGAAGTCATACTCAACCAAAAAATGATGTCATCCAAATCTATGTCAAGTAATTGTAGTAAAACTTGATTCGTTATCCCAACATTCTGACTAAAATAACAAAATTTAGAAGTATATTGATTAAAATAAATACATAAAAAAGATGAAAATAATATTTAAATTTTAGAAAAAAAATAAAAGGATAGAAGAAAAATGCATAATAATTAGATTACCGCAAGAGCAATGATGCCAGTGATGATGCCGGTTTTAATTGCAACGGAAAGATAAGGCGACACGAACACTAAATCTGTGATCGACACTGGATTTAGCCCTTTCTTCAATTCTCCAATCTGTCAATAAATTATTTATTTTAACTCTCTATTTCTTTATTTAATAGAAATAATTTCTTTTTTTTTAATCTTTTTTCTAAACAAATGTTATTTGCTCAAAAATATAAAACACAGTGTACAATTACCAAATGGGCCAAGTCTTCTTACGTTTCTAGCTCGGTTGAAATGTTGTTAAATAAAAATATTATTTCATCATTAATTCATTATTGACTTATTAAATATATAATAAATATTAGAAAAATAAATACCAAACATAAAATTTGAATATTTAATTTCCATGTAAAAATTTTACTTTTTTTTAATTTAAAATTTTAGAGAACCAAAAAACAAAAAATACTAACCAAACATGTTTCTATTTCAAAATAAAAGATAGTAACCAAACTAGTTTCGTTATCGTGAAAACGAAAAAGAAGAAACATGAATATTACTTAACCTTTAATTATTATTATTATTATTATTATTATTATTATTATTTGTCAATACGAAAAAGAAAAGTTGAAAGAAAGAGAGGAAACTTTTGAAAAAGGGTTGAAAGAAGGTCCAATCAAACCTAAAGGATGGGACCAATGAAACATATTCTATTATTGGTGGGGGCCCATTCGCTTAAAAGAGAACCATTATATATATATATATATATTTATTTATTTAAGTGTTTGATAACTTATTCCAAAGAGTGAAACAACAAAATAAAATTTTTTATTTTTCGTTTCTATTCATAGTTCTTTTTAAATAGATAAAAAATTTTATTGTTAAATTGCACAATAAATATCAAACAAGAAATATAATGGTTTTTTTTAGTTTCATATAAACCTTTTCCTTTCTAGATCTAAAATTTGAAATAAACAAAACAAGAAATGATTACCATTTCTTTTTTTTATAAAATGAAGAAACAAAAAATATGTACAAAMATAGTTGTATTTTTCTTGATTCAACCAGGAAAAGAACGAAGAAAAAAAAAGAAGCGTAATATATATTACCAAACATATCATTGGATACCAAATTGAAAGAAATGTATGATAACAAAATATGATTAAACCAAAAACTTCATATTCATTCATGTGAAGCCATAGATTTTGTTTGTATTCTAAATTGGCAGAGTCGGCCAAGACTGAATTTTGTTTGTTTTAGAGGTACCAAAAATTGGACTGAACTCTAATATAATATAATTAATTAATTTTAATTTGTAGAGAGAGAAATAAAATGGAGAAAAAGAAAAAATAGTTTACCACTTCGACGCCATGTTTCTCTGCATGAGTGAGAAACACCAGAAGGCTGCCCAGAATCACTGAGGTCAAAGGTGCCATTGCAGATATCCAGAAGAACCTTGGCTTTTTCTTGCTCTGCCATATTCACATAAATTTAGTGTCACTATTATAAATGTTAAAAGATTCCAAGTTGAAAAGAAAAATGACCCGTCAAAACAAACATAGTTTAGCGGTAATTACCGTATATCTCTAATCAAGAGGTTGYGAGTTTGATCTCTCACTGTCACATGTTTTTTTTTTTAATATCCGTAAGTGTTCGGACCAGTTTACGCATACCTCGAATAATCTCAYGGAACCCACCGCCACATGTTGTACTAAAAAAAATGTTTTAAATGCTTGAAAAAGTGGGTGGGSTTGGATATTTGGTTGAAAAATGGGTGTGAACAAGAAGTTTGTGGGTGATTGTAGAAGAAAATTTGAAATGAAAATTGAGAGGAAAAAGACTAAAATAATTAAGATTATACTATGGAAAGAAGCTAATTCCTATCCAAAATAATTAATTAAAAGCAAAGAAAAGTTCAAATCAAGAAAAGAGTGATTCCTAACTACTTGTACCAACCTTATTCTTCATTATTTCTTTACCTTCATTATTCTTTCTCAAAAATTTCAAAAAATAAAAATAATAATAAAATAAAAGAAAAAAAGAAATTGACTAAAATTTCGAAAATATATTTTCTGAAAGTGAAAAAAAATCTAAAGCAAACAAAATATAGGTACATGTAGTTGTTATAAACTTAAATTAAAGAAATTAAATATTAAACGAAATTGTTATAGAACGATTGCTTTTAGATGACATGTCTAATATGCTAAGTCATGTACGGATTGACATCAAATTTGAGTTAAACACTTGTGACTTTTGCTAATTAACCCATCACTTAAAACTCTAATCCACTTCTTCTGGCTTGTCAAAGAAGTAATTAAGATGATTAAATACAATTAATTAAATCAACAAAAGATAGTCAACATGATCTTGCTTGTTATTAAAAATAGAAAAAAAAAATTAAATGATATCTTTCCACGTGGACGATGGACACTTGACAATCCCAAATCCAAAATTGCCTAAATATTTGGTAAATTTTGGTTGGTGCCATGCATGATTTTTTTTACCACAAAAATGAGCTAGTGGGTATATGATGTGACACTCTGTCTAATTATTTAAATTAAATCTATGATAAATTTTTATAACTAAAAAATCTTTTTCACGAACCTAACTCAACGATAGATGACATGAATTTATATTAACTTACAAAATATCTAGTGACGAGGAGGAAGAAAAGAAAACCGCATCCCAAAACTCCGCTTTCCCATCTCCACTGCAATAGATCAGTTAAACAAAAATAATTAACAAAAAAATTAGCATCAAACTTACACCTAATATTCCAATTCTTATTTTAGAATTGGAAAGAGGAGAAACGAGATAGGGGTGTTTTAACCTTTGTGAAAATCACTTCTCTTTTCATTGATCAAGTTTGACAAATTAAAAAATTTATTTTAAAAAAGTTTAAAACCACTTTAAATTGATTTTTAAAGTATGATTTCAATTATACTTAAATTTATTTTTTTAAATCACTCGTTCTACTATCACTCATAAATACATCTTTAATTTGCTGAAATAGATAATTACTATCTAAATCGACCAAACTTTATATGATCATATAATCATAATAATTTATTAACTTGAAATAATTTATTACGACGTAGTTAAATATCATTTTAAAATTCTCATATCATGCTTTTTTTTAAAAAAAAAAATGTTAAAAGGACAGACAAAATTTATAAATAGATAGGACGCATAGGAGTGGGAGTATAAATATAGACAAGGCACGTGGTGTAGGGCTTTAAAGTTGAAACAAAAAAGTGAGAGCTTTCCAATTATATATTCATAAAATCAATTATTATTTTTCAAAATTAACCACAAAAAAATAATAATAAATAAAACATGTGAATTGAAGTGGGGCTTGTTTTGTCTACACTACAACCAAAATTAATTCTTTTTTTTTCAGTCCCTAATATTTATGTTATTCTCCAATTTCACCCCTAAAACTTCATTTAATTTTGTTAATACATTTTAACCTCCTACCAAACAATGAGGTTTTTTTTTCTTGATATCCGTGAATGTTCGGGTGAGATTACGCGCACCTCGACTAATCTCACAAGGCAACCATCTGATCCTACAACATTTGGTGCCGGAAAACACATTTGAATTACTAATTCCTAAGATAGACCGTCATCATGGAATTTGAACGAGGTTGAAATTTTTAATTAGAGTATTTGAGAAGTGAAGAAAGAGAACCTCGTGAACTTGAGTGAAGACGGAGCGGAGGACGGAGACAAGGTCAGTTGCGTGGGTGAAATGAGTTAGGCCGAGGATGCCTTTAAGTTGCTGAAGGCACACCACCGTCGCAGCGCCTGCCATGAACCCGACTATGGTTGCATGTGACAAAAAATCCACGATGAACCCTAACCTACAACATCCATATATCCATGCAACTATTCAATTTTACTATAATATCAAAGAAGAAAAAAAACTTTTATTTGGCTTTTATAAATCAATTAATTATTTTTGTTTTATTATATCATAGGTAGAGAGAGAGAGAGAGAGAGAGAGAGAGAGAGAGAGAGAGAGAGAGAGAGTTAGGCAGAGACAAGGCAAAAGTGATGATGAATATGATAGGGAATGGATCTGCATTTCGCTGTTTCAAGATTATTCCTTCACATTATATTATATAATAATATAAAAATCAAGAATCTCATCCATATTATTATTCCCCTTGTTTTTTTCCCCCAAAATTAATAATAAATAAACTTAGCCCATCCTATCATATAATTAATACTTAATGATTGATTAGAAAAAGGTTAATCTATTCTAAGAAAGAAAAAATTGTGCGGTAATTTTTAATTTATATCTCTATATTTTAACTAAATATCTTAAAACATCCGACATTATTAACTTAGACCCTTGGTTAACGTTCTTATTTCTTATTTCTCCTCTTCCATTTCTAATAATAATAAAAAAAGAATTACAGGATCCCAACATACATGAATTTAAACATGATAAAACAATTCCATTATTTATATTTTACAATAAAGAGAATGTTTTCAAAAAGTGAGAAACAACAAATATAGTTACCGATAAAACGTTTGAATTTTTTAAAAAAATTAGAAACGTTATCAAATGGGCTTTTAATATTTTTTACGTTTAATTTGATTGTCAATCTAAACCTATCTCTAAATACATAGTTATTCATTGGCTTTGAAATTGGAGGTTAAAATTTCTATTCTCAATAATTATTTTCACCCTTTCTAATAGGAAAATATTTATGACTCTTTTTACCATCTTTTTTTAAAAAATTGACAGTTAAAAGTTAAAAAGGGGGAAGTGGATATTAATTTTACCTTAAGAGGCCTAAGGAAGCTTGGAAGACGCCGGCGAAGAAAGTGGCGGTGAAGGCAAGGTGAAGATAGAGGGTGGGATTCTGTGCGGCGTTAACCTCCGCTCCCAACATTGAGCTTATCAGAAGCGACGCCACCGCCACCGTCCCCACCGCTAGATCCTTCGAGCTTCCCATCATCGCGTAGATCAACGGCGGAATGAAGCTTGAATCTGCGCCCATTAGTTTCCAAATATCACATTTCTGATTAGATTATTCACAACAACCGCCATCCCACAATATCTCAAAATACCAAAACTAAATTTACACTGCTGCGAGTGGGACCCCTGCTTTTGTTCTCTAATTATTATTTCTTAAAAAAAAAAACACATCTACATTTTTAGACGTTTGAAAAATGGTGTTGGAAAGAAATATATTTGAGTGAGAAATTGATCTGATAGAATTTGAGACAACGAAATAATAAATATAAAATTAAGTTTGAAAATAAATAAAACAGATTAAAATAAAATTAGGTAGGAAGAAAACTTTAAAATAAAAATTAGATAGAGAATCGACAACCTTTTCCCTCCATTTTAGATTATATCACATCAATTTTTTATTTTAAATATTCATGAAGTTTCAAAAAAGTTTATGAGAGATCAAAGGAAAAAAAGAGTTATTTTTAAAAGAAAGATAAAGTTTTAGGTATTCTTATTCATTTATTATTATTATTATTACTTTTTTAAATACTAATAATTCTCACAATATTTATTTTGGTCTATTTTACTTACTGTATTATAAATTTTATTTTTAATCTAACTTTTTTTATTATAAATTTCAATTCGTGTTATTTTTTATTATTTTTAATCTAAAATTAATATATTTCTTAAAATGTAATTATTATTTTATATTAAAGAATTTTCGATAGGTGTCAAATTCGTGTTAAAATTTTACAACAAGAGACTAAAATTATCACTCCGTAACATACATAAATTAATACAAATTTATCACTTTTTTAAATAAATAAACCAAAGTTAATGAAACAAGAAAGTAAGATGTTTTATTTTTTTATTTTGTTTGGGGGGCAGGGAGGTAATTTAGTTTGTTGGGTTTACTTACAGAGGCCGAGAATGGGGGGCAAGTTAGCGAGCTTGGCGTAGCTGATGCCCTGAGGAATGGCGAGGCTGGCAATGGTGATGCCTGAAACGACGTCGGATTTCAGGAGCCCCAACGTGTAGCGCGGGGCCCACTCCAGCACCGGGAAGAAGTACTGAAAACCGAGGAGGATCTTTCTCGCCGGCGGCTGGTTCTTGAACTGCCGCAGTGGGTCGTCCGGGAAGAACGTCTCCTTCAGGGAGTTCTTCAGCGACTTCACAAACGGCTGCGGCGCCGGAATCGCCACCCGGTGGGAGCACTCGCCGCCGCCCGCCGCCGAAGATGGGTATACATAGTCGGCGTTACCCATCGGAAGGAAAAAAAAAGGAGGTGGGTGCGAAGGGAGAGGAGGTTTGTGGATGTGGGTGAGAAGAGAAGAGTACGTAATTTTGCTTGCAAGGAGTGGAGGAGGAAGGGGTGGCTTTATATAAAAACAATTCAAATTAAAAAAGAGAAAACAGAGGTGGGGCCCGCGCCGGGGGCTTCCGTGTGATTTTGCAATTTTTTTTCAGTGCTCGGTGGGTCCCACCGGTACTGTTGCCTTGTAGGTACACACGTCCCCAATTTTAGTTTTGATTCTAATATATATATATATATATGTGCGGTTTATTTTTTATTTTTATTTTTAAATTTAGTCGTTATTATTTAAGTTTCTTTTAATTTATTTCTTTACGTTTTTAATGATTTTCAATTTAGTTCTCACTCATGGTGAAAGTTAAAACTAATTGATGGTAAATTTACATTAGTATAATACTTAGTAAATGAGTGGAAGTTTGGAGGAGAAAAAGTTATAAGGAAAAGAAAACTCAAAATTTCAATAAATTTCTTCGAAATTTGAGGGATGAATTTGAAAATTTTCTCTCACAAATAATATATTTTATCGTCTAAATATATACCAATTCGTTGYATAAATTTATCATCAACTAGTTTTAATATTTATCGATGGTGAGAATCTAAATTGAAAAATACTAAAATATGAGGGATTATATTGAAATTTTTTAAACAGTGTGGGCTAAACCGAAAAAACTATCCAACACTATGGACTAAAGCATATGGAATAAAAACAAAATTGAAGCTTACATTTAAAAAAGAAAATAAAATCTTTCCTTTCTCAAGGGATAAATATGAATTTTTTTCTATTAAAAAGTGGAATAAATATGAAATTTAGACATATAGCGTGCTCTAATAAAATTGGAACTAGTTTTATGATGCTTAAGGAAATCTTCTAATTATGAAGTTGGTCAAGACAAGAGATTAATTTGGACCATGCTTCATCCAAAATTTTGACACAATTTGTATTATGTTATAAATTTTAATAGACATTTTCAAGTACATTTTCTAACGTTAGAAGCTTAGTCCTTTTCTTTTTCCGTATGAATAACATATGGAGTGGGAGATTCGAACTTCCAATTTCTTGATTGATGATATGTATGTTAAATAATTGAATTATGTTCAAGTCGACAGAGACTTAATTGTTGTACTTCTAAAGATAAGATTAAAAAGAGTATCTGAATGAAAAACGTCGTAGAAATTTGAATACATAAATTTAAAATATGTTTTAATAAGCAATGTAATTATTAAAATAAACTTAAGGGTAAAATCTTGTAAAAGTTGATGTGAATGTGGATGGAATGCTATTATAGAAGAAGCTTGAACTCATGATTTAAATTTAAATTTTTATATGGCTTTGTAAACCACCAATCAACCTACATCACAAAAATGTCACTAACAAATGTTAATTTGTTTATACGTAACCAAGCTAATTAAAAAAATAAAATCAATTTATACCCCTAAATTTTGGGTTTGAATAAATTAAAACCCTAAACAAATAATTAATATCAATTAAAACTTTTCCTTTTCTTTTTCAGAAAAAAAAAAGAATATCACTTAAATCCTTAAACTTTCATAAATAATCAATTTACACCTTCAGTTGAAGTTTATTCATTAATTTAACAAATCATTAATGCATAATTCCCACTTGTGTGTAGATTTGTTTAAGTGAAAGATTTAATAAAATATTAGAAGGAACTTCTTGAATCAATAGGTTGTAGTGGGATTTCACCCGATGAAAAATTTAGGAATAAGAGAAGATGAAAAACCAACACATTGATGTAAAAGCTACTATCACACTCGATTCTAATTTAGCGGTTTTCAAAAAGAACTYTATAACAAAGAGTGTAAATCGATTCACTTACGAAACTTTAGGATTTTAATCGGTATAATTATTAGTTTAAGTTTGGATTGATTTCAACCTACAAATTTTAGGGGTGTTAATTGAATTTTTTCAAGAAAAAAAAAAGATACCTTTTACTTTTGTACTAGAGATTAGTTAATCAAATTTAACTTTAAAAATTCAATTTTATCAAATTTAAAATTTAAATTTRAATAATTAATGAAACTAATGTGACTTAAAACTATGAATTATAAATTTGGGCACGAAATAACTAATTAGTAGCTCAAACCAAATTTAGTTTTTTTTTTTTTTTATATTGAGTACAGCATGTAGGGGTGGGAGATCGAACTTACAACCTTTTGATTGGAAATATATATGTCAATTACCGCTATGAATCAAGTTGAGCTAAATTTAGCTAATTAACCTAACACTCAAAATTAAGTTGCATATTCCCAATTACACCAAAGTATCTAGGCCTAGCTAGTCACAAATCAAACATGCTAAAAAGGCTCAAGTTTTGACATTTTTTACTTAGATTTTGAAATTATTTTTAAAAGTACTGGAAAATAAAATAAATAAATGGAAATAGTATTTTTTTAAACACAAACGGTTAAAAATAGAAGATAAAAAATAAAATGATTATTAGACCGACTTTAGTAATCCATCAATTAATATTCTAAGAATAAATTGAGAATTACCGAAAAATATTATGGACTATTTTATATATTTATCTTTTTTTTTCAAGTTAATAATTGAATTCGAAAAGTGAACATAACTCAACGGGTGAAAATACCAGTATAATATATTAAAAAAATGCAAAATTTATAATTTTTCTATTGGCGTGAAATAAATAATTAAACTTTATGGAATAAATAAATGTCGACGGAAGCGAAAAAACGTGCAGTGTATCTCCGAAGCGCAGACACCCCCCAGTGACCACTGACCACAAATAATAATGTGACGTGTCTATTAATAAATGAGTCAGCGAGTTCGTTCTGCCACGTGTACCGGGGCCAATGGGACACGTGGAAAGTTTAAAATCCTAGACTTAATTATTGGAGAAATCACTTTTAGAAGTCTTAATTGCTCAATTCTATAATAATTTCCTAAAGCCTAACCTTTGATGGTTCGGTCAGCGGGTTTGAAATTGTGTGAATTTTGCCACGTGGGATTTTTTTTTTTTTTCATTTATTGATTTTTAATGAAGGAAAGAGCGGCTACCTAATTCAAAACTTTTTCAAGGATAGAATACAATACAATCTCATTTTGGTTGCACTAAACAAAATCACACCTAAAAAGTGGACAAATCCGACACGATTTTGGTTATTGGAATGGTTTTTCAAATCCAATTTGAGATTTAAGTATTTTGTAAATGAATTAAAATGGATGTCGCAAATAAGCTTCGGGTAAATCTCACTATTGATTAAATCGTATGTTAGTGTGAAGTTTAAGTGTAGTTTAGTTAGGTGAGAGCAAATGCTGTAACAGACAACGATATCATAATTTTTTTTGGCGTTTTATTCAAAGAGTCTCGACCCAATAGAGATAATTGTCTTTACCTATGTATTATGAAAATGTGTAACTTTGTGTTGGAAATCTAAAGATTTTATATTTACTATTTTATTTTATCATGTTATTTGTCTCCTTTAACTTGATCAGTCAACTCTTCCTAATAAATAGGAGTGATTGTAACTTGTTAAACTTAGACTCTCTAATAATGAGGTGACAGTCTAGGACAAAGTTCCCAAGGTGTGTTTGAACAGAGTTTTCCACAAGTTTCTTTTTTGTAAAATACAAAAGAGTTTGGTTTTGAATTTTATGATTTTAAGTATATAAATAATTGGGTATTTGTAAGAGAACTAAACTGTTACACAAGGTCTCTGGAAGAATTGTTGTATCTTTGGAGTCGAGTACCAAATAACTCAGTGCAGTGGGGTACATCTTCTCTATGGACAACGTAACGTTTACGAACGTGCCTCAATCCAAAATTTATAGGCTTTTCTTATCTCTATATTTTGTTGTTATTTAATTGAAAGTTTGTATTTATTATTTYAGAAATTCCACCGCCCTGAATATTTCCAACACTCTATATGCGTACTCCTAACAAATGCTACTTGATTCAAGTGAGTTGTAGCTAACCGACCATGTCAAAAACCAGGAAGCTATACCAAGTCCAAAGTGAGCTATAACCTAGTGGATGTACGTAGAGTATATTTTAGCCATACTACTCATAACCTTTACACGGAGTGTATGCACCCAATAACACGATGTTACATTTTGCACCAACCTATAACATCCTGCACAATTGTGACTATAGTAGTGACACCACAACTATTCATATAGGACGTCGAGAGGTTTACTTGTGACCAGCTCCTAACAACAAAAATTGAGATTGATATTATATTCACCCACTTCTAACATGTCATGTTTTTTAAAGTTGTGATTGGTGTGTATGTTTGACCTTACTAGCAATTCTACTACTAGGCACATCATATTGTTGTTTCTCTTATCAGTACATACASGTGGATGAATCGAAGAGGTCAAATCATCTTCTCTATTTAATTATTGAAACTCTTTCAAACTTGAAATTCGATTTAACTTAAGCATTTAAAAGATATCGGGGAAAACATCATCACGCCAATGTCAAAGAAGTACGTTCTCAAGTGCCATATTAATTACCTCCAACATTGCCACCTCTAACCATGTTGACATATATCTAACTCGTCTATACAGCTAGAATATCACAAATATATTTTGAAATATATATTTTTTTACAAAAGAAAACTTAATTGAAAAATGAAAACCAAGGCAATTTGGTTTGTATATGCAAAATCAATATTTTTGTCTATGTTGGTGTGGCCCATTTTTCTTGACTTGGTGTTCCATGTTTATACATCATCCAAATAAAGAAACCGATTTTGAAAAGAAGTCTTTGGTTGAAGTGACAATTTACACGCTTTGGCATATATATTCAAAATTATGTATTGATTTTCTAACCTAATTAATTAATCAATTAACAAAGTTATAGATATTAACTATATATAAGTATGAAGATGAAAATTTGAGCCTTTAAACCTTATAAAGAATTATCAGTCTTAGTCCACCGACTCATGTAGAATATTTTTATTGTTGAATGAATTGTGTTACGTCACAATAAAAATTATTATAATAGTGCTCAAACTTTTCTTTTTCGCTTTTCATGATGGTAATCCTTTCCTCATAGGAAGATTACAACTT